TACACCGCAATACGAATAATAATGTCACTTGCAATATTATTCGATTAGTTATGCCACTTAAAACGTTTACACCTTTGACATAACGCATATTTGCATTATTGCATTACTACTGCACCTTTACAGTTTGGTAGTTAAGTTCAGGACTGAGGAAAATGCCTTCGAACCCTCCTATAGGTGTTCAAATTGGTACCTTCGATCATTCTTAAATTTAATTTTGGAAAATACTACATTAATCTGCTCCTATGACCCAAATAGTAAACGAGTGAAATCACAAGTTCTTCTTGGTCCGCTGTCAAGATTCTTTAGTTGGAAACTGGCAATCTAAACTAACTCTGAATTTTTTTTTTTTGGCATAGACATTTGCTTGAAGAGCCTGAACACACTGGAAAAGGCCGGGCTTATAAAAATGGATGACGGATTTGATCTCAAGCCCACTGGTAAATGAAAATACCATAGTATACCATAACCATACTATAGCTCTGATATGAATTACAGAATTGGAGTGTGGGTGTATGAATTTAATTATGGGAGAAGACCAAATAAGGCAATATAAACTTGGCTGTAGCTCAATGACATCAGTATCTGTGAATGCAATGTAATCTTTCTATCTGAAAACGAAACTGACTGGCTCAAGCCCATGACGGCTTAAATTCTAAGGCTGTGTTCACTCTTGGTGCCCGAGCCCTGGTGCCCTGGCACCGGCACGAAATACTGCTGCGTTTAGACACTGGTGCTACAAGTTTCCAAGTACCACTAAGTACACGAGTGCAAGGCCTAGACCAAGAGACTGATTGTTCCCGGGCACGGGCCCTGAGCTCGAATTCTGGTCTGCGTTCTTGGAAAACAAGGTGTGTTCACATTAGTGCCCAGCGAGAATCGTACTCAGGCACCGTGCTCGGGCACCAAGTGTGAACATAGCCTAAGAAGCTACTACTCCTATTCCTTACTGGGTTCTGACAATAAATTGTAGGTCTTATGTCTTACAGAGATCCTTTTATACATCTTAATCTCCTAAACAATAATGT